ATCCAGGTCATCATGGTCTAAGGAGCTTGGAAAGAAAAGCGTCTGTGGGAGTGTCCCTTAAGAGGGTTGTTGACCCATTATTGATCCTCTCAAACTTCAGGCCTCGAGGTCCGGTGTCCTGCAGGTTTTAGCTCTCACCCTGGGTCATCGGGGTCAAATGATTAGTTCTTTACCTCTTTGCCTCTGGAGAACTTCAGAGTCAAAGGTTCTGGTCCATGTGTGTCGGTTTCAGGTAAACTTCAGTGTTGAGGTTTCTATTCTTCTCAGTGTGCACTGAAAATCTTTCCAAGCTCCTTAGAGAACTTTATGCAAACACTTAACGACTGGATAGACGTGATTATGTTGTATTAAGTGGTGAAAAACAATTATTAAAACTCTTTTGTGTTTGTGGACACAGAGACTCAATTAGTCTGTCTAACTTAATCAGAACGAACTGTTCCCAGATCAGAGTCATCTGACACTAGAAGGTTCAGTCACGAGTAACTCTTCACTGCCACAAAACAAAACTTGAGTTTTAGGTCATAGTTTTAAAAACCGTAAAGTGCGCCTTGTTGTAGTTTTTGCCTCTCTCCCTCTGAGTGTCACGGGTCTATCTGATCTGGAGGAGAATGTCTTTTATCTCAGCTTTGATACTGAAAGCAGCAACTCCATCAGTTACTCAGCTAGCGAGTGCTGAAATCTGTGTGACCTGATTGAAACCCTGAAAATCAAAGCCTCCATCTGATTTCATGAGCTGATTGCCCGTCACCCAGTGTCCACTCCCCGCCTGACGGCGCTCTTCCACTGCCTTTGCCACGAAGTAGACCATGTTGAAAATAGTCCCAAACAAAGGAGACACCTGCAGACACAGGACAACACTTTGTCACATTAGATTCTCTCGTTTACTGGGGACGTACACATTGTTTACACGTTATTTACTTGTTTACCTCTGAATCCATCAGAACATTAAAGCCCGTGTTTGTTGTTGTTTGTTTGTTTACCTCTGTGGCGGAGACACCCGAGTGAATCTCTCGGCTCGTTTGAGCCTCGCGGAAAGCTTCATAGAAACTCTGGTCGGATGCCATGGTAACAGTCAGCACGGCACTATAGGCGTGACGTAGCTGCGTGCTATTGGTCAGCTGGTTGAAGACTGTGTGCTGATTGGATAAAACAGAGAGGGAGGGAACCAATCAGAACTCTGCCTTTAGTTAAACACAGTGGGGTGGTGTATGGGTGGTAAATAAGAAAAGTTTGCTTGTTTGCTTGTTTTCTTTTTGAGGATCGGAGAAAATGGAATAAAACCTCCTTGAGAACTTGTTGGTCGTTACCTGATAGGGCATCGCGTACAGCAGGGCGTCGTAGGGAATGAACATGTAACCATTGGAAACCATCCCCATCTCCAGGGCGGTCAGCAGTAGCTCCCTCTGATCCTCTCCACCAATCAGGACAGA